ATTTTTTTCAATCACATGTCAAACAATTCAAATTTTCTTGGATCCATGTGATGCAAAAAGACTAAGAGAGCAATTACGGTGAAAGATCGTAAGTTTTGAATTCCTATTTTGTTAGGAAAATTTTTATGGTTTTGTAAGTTAAGCCAGCGTTCATCAATCGTTTAATACTTGCGGATCGTATGAGACAGGAGACGAATTTTACCAACCAGCTTATGGTTAAGACAAAAATAAAAATCAATGTATAATAGACAGTAATTTCTAAGCTGCGGATTATTATGGATGTATGGGTAATTTAAAACAAATTGCACACAGTATGAGAAGATACACAAAATATCCAAAATGTAGAGCTGTTTACAGTATTTGTTAGAAGAAACTATTTTTTATCATAATTTCATTTTTCTATTAAAACTCTGAATTTGTATAAAGATCTACAGTCTAATCATTTGTTTTCAGGAATATCCGTTGTTACAAAAAATGTCTTAAATGTAATTTTTTCTATTATGTAAGGACGGTAATTTAGTGTACTTAGTTTGTCTCTAGGTGGCTATGTGTAGAAGATGTAAAAGTTACTACTATTTTTCAAATATAATCATGTAATTTTTGTTGCATCAATTGATGCAGGAAGTTATTCTCCATAGAACAGTAAAGTATTTATCTATTTATGTTAACAACCCGTCAAAACAGAAAAAGTTTCATTTGTGGCATTTTTTAAAATAACAAGTAGTTCCAGAAATAATTGCATTTGTAGATTAAAATGAAACATCCTATACATCACTTTTCTTTAAGTAAACACACTAGTAAAGTTATTTGGTTTTCTCTTAGAATATTCTACATATTATAGAAACACATTTATGAATAGGTGTTCCAAACAATTTCTATAATACCACTAATTGTACGGAATAAATCGATCGGAAACGATGTTCGTGCCTGGTACTGTCGTGGACGACGTGTAAAAAATATAGGGTACGTATAAGAGACGGAAGCGGTTGTCTGGGCGTTAAGCAGAGTCATGGCCAATGTTGGTAAAGCAAGGTCGGGCAAGTGCCTACTAATCATTTCTACTGTTATACGGAACCGAAATTTCATATTAAGGCCAATAATCATAATACAGTAATATAAAAATATTATTACATCATAATAATATAATAATCCATTTACATGAAAAAATAAGTCAAATACATACAGTAAAATTCATATATAAATTTATATGTATATCATATTAGATGATTCCTGCCCAGTATTATTTTAATTATTTCTTATGCCGTGTTAATTCCTATTAAGAAAAATGTTATTCTATATTTTCTACTTAGTTTTTTTATTCGGATAATTCCCCTCCTGATTGTACCACGATTGCGAAATTACGCGGTATAGTCTGATAAACATTGTTTTATTTTTCTGATGTGGACGGTGTCTCCTTGGAAACGAATTCCAATGTACTCTATTTGGTTGAGTTACAAATATCCTTGACATTTAATATCAGTATACTTGTATTTGTAAAAACAGATCTCACAAAGTTAGCCATAATAGCCATAAACGTATTTCCGTGTATTTGGCTAATTATGGCGTTTTTTCATCGTCTTAACCAATGTATCTTAATTATTTGCCCGTATGTCGTTACGAAGGTTCTTTTTTTATCGTAGACTGTTGCCAAGTTTCTTGCGTCGATCCAACCTGGCTCGTTTGCAAGGTTACTATGCAGCATATTGAATCTCGTTGAGGAACGTGTAAGTCGTGGTGCGTCCACATTGATGAATGCAGAATATATTTACACTAGAAATTACAAGAATCAAAAGTATAGAGGTATTAATGGACAAAAAGAAAGAACAATTTGAGAATTTTTCAATTTTTATTTAAAATGTGGTACAAATTAAATTTATTATGTAAATATATAATATCATACAGTATTTTTATTTGTATGACCCGATTTTATTTGAAGGAACGTATGAAATGGTACAATGCCACAAAATTTGCATCTCAATCCAGAATATTAGACAATAAATTATAAATAATAACGTTGAATATTTGTATCATCCTTTATATAATATGAACGTTTGCACTAACTTCAGAATATCGTGAAAGTATTAAAGTGAATGTTTTTAACGATCTCAGATGTCGAAGAGACGGATGGCATGGTTATTTATGCCCGTTTCTTTTCATGCCATTAATTTTGCTGTAAACGAACCATATTTTTAAATTTGTGTTTTATAAATAATGCTTTACAGAAACTTGTTATTATCTTTTCAGAATTTTAGAATTGTCATTTTAATAAGAAATAATACGTGTATTCACATATTAAACAGCAAGTTATTTAAAAGAGAACGATCGTGAAAAGCTTTCTGATAATTATTATGAAAATTTATAAAACAATTAAACATTACATATCTATACAAGTAAGAACTGACCGGAGTCCAGATCTATACAGCCCGTAGTCACGGCCCTGAATAGCCATGGCCAGCGTGTGATGGGCAGTGTGGCGCCAAAACTCTGTGCACGCGCTCTTCATGGAGATTTTCTTAACCTGTCCAAAAAAAACCGTTCTCACACTTCCCGCGGAGGAGGGTTTCTCGTCAGAAATGTCTGCAGAGTCCAATGGTGCATAGCAAGTTTGTGCCAGCCAACTCAGTTTTCATAGAAATGTAACAGGAGTGCGTACAAAATACGCGCATCTACCGTTTTTTAAATTTTGATTATCATTTACAAACATTTAATGATATGCAAAATTTAAAGTTTTTATATCTACATATTCGGGCAACTCTCCTCTATTTTTTACGGCAAATTTTAACTGCCTATCATTTTTAGTTTTCACGTAACACTTGTTTCTCTGAAAAATTCGACTGTTTTCACAAAATCTACTTTTTTCGAAAACTGGATGTAACCCAGCAATTTGGTTTTCGGATTCGTATTTAGGACAACGGACTCTATAAGGACAACCTAGTGGCTATTTCATAACAAAAATCTTGTTCCACAGTGTAATTATTGCAGAAGTGGGCGTCCTTATCTATTTTAATGACCCTGAAGTATGTTGTCAGTGTCATAATTTTATTTTATTGGCAAAAATATTTTTACCAAAATTTATATTAATATTATAGATTATTTGAAGCTTTAGTATAGATTTATATTAAATTAGACTTAGATTAAACCCCTATTTCTGTTTTCTAGTAAAAACACAAAGATTGATGCTTGTAATGATTAAGTTTATTGTTCAGTTTTATATTTGATATTACATAACAGGAAATATTTCAGCTATCATATAAATAAATTTTCTATGTGATGTTCAATTTACACTATCGTTTATTTTGCATGACAAATAACGTTTATTTTGCATAACAATCGTAAAAAGATACACCTAGCGTAAGGACATTCATTAATCTTTACTTACTTAATATTAATATATAGTGGACTTCTCAAGTTAGTAAGGAGAAATATAGTCATATCTGTCAGATTATGTACTCTTTATATGTATAGAATTCGTTAGCGTTGTTCACTTAAGAAAATCTGTTGAAAAAAGACATTATGTACTATTGTAATGTAGAATCTTCTTGTAAGTAACCGCAGCTCGACTTACATTTATGTCAAATTAAATTTATTTAACGTTAATCGGTTATCAAATCAAATTGATTATAAAACGTTGGAAATTGTTTTAATAAGTAGCACATTTTAAAAGATTATAAAAATTAAATCTTGTTCGAATAATGATAAATAGAATATATATGAAACGTTGAATTCTACCGCTGTAAATTACTTTAATTAATTTCTCTAAGAAGAAATACAAGTTTCCACTTAACAGCATTAAAAACAAATTGAGTGCAAGGAGTTAAAATAAACACTGGTAAAAATATTTTAGCGAATGCTCATGACTTGCTATTTGTAACAGGTACCGGTACATAAGTCATATATGTAAACAGAGATTTATTTGATAAACATCAGTTAATTATAAAAGAATATCTAACTTACTTAATTTTATATTGCATATTAAAAACTATAAAGTATTGACGTTTTTAAGTTGACGAACATTTTATACTATAACTTAATAAAAAATAACAGTGACAGTGAACAAACAATGTAAAGTACAATAGTTATGGTTTATGAAAAATAAAAAAACATTTCTAGATGGTTATTAATAAATTTCACATAAATTTATATGAAAAACGTGACTTTTAGCCCCACTCTGTTCTATTGAGTGACTCTCTCCTATATGAAATAC